AGAGACAGAGGTGCACTTCCTACTGCACTGTGACAGATACTCTGGGATTAGAGAAACATTCTTCTCTAAATTCAGAAATCTAATCCCAGAGTTCCCACACCTGCCAGAATCACAACAGGTCCCAGTCCTACTGGGAGATTGAGGAGGGAACTCAGTTGAACTGGCAGCCCAGTATGTGATCTCTTGTCCCAGCTTGAGGAACAGCGAGCCTGTCTCCCAATGATGCTCCGTGTGTTTGTATGTAAATGTCCCATGATGTGTATATATTGTAAAGGTATGTAAATGTCTGTATATTTTATGTTAATTGTATATGATTTGGCAACACCGAGTTCTCCATTGGTCATGCCGATCAAGTTGTTGACGTGAGCTGAGTCTGCTACAGTCTGATCAGGAGTGGGGACGACTCGGAGCAGCTGAGGCTGAAACGTCACTGGGATACGAGAGGAAGAGGGCTGTTGCTTTTCCTGGGGGTCCGGTTGGCGGGGCGCGTCGTATGGTCTCCAGACCCGGACTTCAGCGCGTTTACAGACCCGCGACACTGCTGCCACTGCCGCCGTTTAGCGGGCAGTGATACATGTTGCAGAAAAGAGAGGACTGCCCCTTTAAAGAACTGGGCCCCCCCCTCCTCCTCCTCCTCTTCCTCCCCCCCCGCCCGGCCCCTCACCTCCGCCTTGCTGTGGATCTGCTCCACACCCACCCACACTCGGCACGGACACAGAACCGAAACTGCGCGCACGGCTCTGCACAAAGGCGCTTACTGGGAGTAACAGGAAGAAAAGGCGAGCGTCTGTCTGCTTCGGGATACAAGACCACTGAATCATGTAAGTAGACCCCTCGGGTCCCGATGTGTCTCACATCCCCGTCGGTCGTCTGCGTGTCTCCTCGCTGCTGCCGTTATCTTGCGTGTCGCCCCACACGCCCCAGACGGGGCGAAGGGGAATCAGAGCCGCGCATTCGCCGCGGAGGGCGACGGGCGCCGATGCGCTCCGCGGTGAGGTTTCTTTCTGGTGACACCCTGGGTTTCTAAAGCCTGCTGGTGGTGGCTTCCGTCTGCGCTGCGTGGATGTCGAGGCTGGCTCGTTTGTCGCTGTCGTGTAGCACACAACAAAATGGCATAGGGACGGGCTGCTGTTCATCACAGCATAATTATTACTTTCTCTTACTGTCCCCCCCCCAAACGCCATTTGTTTTGGGTAACAACAGATTCCGTGCGCTTCATTTTCAGTGGGGTTTGCAATGCCGTGTTTATCTAAAAGGGAAAACCCCGCAAATGCAGATTATACGCCTAGTTGACTTGGCACTACTGGCTGCAAATGGCTAAAAGTCAGCCATTTCTAAATGGTGATCGCCGCGGCCGCTGGACGCCCTGACGACGGGCCCGGCCCTGTAGGCAGCGGCTCGCCACACGAACAGGCTGCGTTTCTCCGGCCGTGTTCGAGCCCGGTTCCCGGGCGCTGCCAATGGAGGGCGAGAGAACTGCCCGGTTCTGTTGAGCCACAGCTGGATCGCAAATTAAGGCGGCGGCTGAATAATCAAAGCCCTTAACCCCTGGAGTGAAAACCAGGAGATGTGTTTCCAGTCCAGCCAGGTTCTCCTGACCTACATCAGCTGGTCAGTGGCTCAACTGGAGCAATTTACCAGCCTCTCCCAGCTGCTGTGAAGAGACCTGCGCACCCTGCAGGCACATCAGAACCAGGACAGCCCAGCCCTGGTACAGAGCACAGGGAGGGGAGAGGAGAGACTCTTTCTATGTGGCCGTGTTGTTTGGAAGATGCACGCCCAGGTCACTGCGGTGTTGTGTGTCTTTTCCTGTCGGCGCGGTGGGGACACAGTCACTAATGTGGTCTGTCTTAGTGCTGGTTCGCGCTGCAGAAGAACCCCACCGAGCTCAGATCCACATGTTCCACCACATTAAGATATTGCCGCCCCACACCCGAAAAGCCAAAGAATCAGATGGCCAGCACTTTCTTGACGGAAAGTGACAATTCTGAGCCCACCTGTGCTGTGTCATTCCTGTGATAGCGTTCCTAGGCTCAGACACTCCACTTGGCTCATTAGTAATGCAAACTATTGCTGCAACATTTTCATGAATGACCTTTTTTCAGTGTAACAATGAAAAATAAAATAAGTAGCAGTGTCTAATCTTGGACCATATGAAGATAACAAGTATGCCACTTAACTTACAAAAGATTTACTTTCGATATTTCTGTCTCATATTAATTTGTGTTGCCTCAGTTCGTTTTCTGAGAATTTGTTACCCGGGGGGTTGTCTAGCTTGGTCTTTCCTGAAATGCGGTTCAGGAACTGTAGTCAGGGCTGATGACGCAGGGGGTGTCAATGTGCTTCGATTTTCTCAGGGCAGGTCAGCCAGGGCTGTCCGCCCACAGTTATTATAGGTGTCATCTTTGACTTCCATCACATCTGGGGAGATGATTAAATTGGTCCAATTAACAAATTAATTGGTCCAGTTAACAAACAGAGAACCCATGTGGACTGAAAGCCAGAAGACTGTAGCTCTCAAGGAGTTATTTCAGCTGACCTACGTGAAACAAGAATACAAAATCTTATTTCTAGTGTCTCAGCTGTTCGGAACAATGGTGGCCAATGAGATCCACTGTTTTGTGATTCTCGTACTTAGTTAAAATTGTCACGGTTAAAATAGTAACTGTCTATAAATAATCTACTAGCATGTTATCAATTATATCTAATAGTTTCTAGCTGTGTTTTGGGGTGTTGTTCAGGCTATGGTCAGGATTAGGGTCTTGTAGCTGATATGCAATCAGTGTGCAACAGAGGTTGGTTATCATCACATTTATTTATTTTACTGTATTAATACATTATAAATGAATATGAAGAGCTTTTTGTAGGGGGCAGCCAGTTCTTCCAATAGTGATTTTGTGAGGTGTGGAGGTTGACATCACTGGCCAGGTTGATCAGAATGAGAGAGAGACCAGGGAGTGATTCCTGATTGATTGGTTTGAGAGAGAGAGATCAGGGAGTGATTCCTCATTGATCGGTTTGAGAGAGAGAGATCAGGGAGTGATTCCTCATTGATC